CTTGGGATTCTCTCTCTCCCCTTCTCTCTCTGCCCCTCCCCCATTCATGTGTGCATGTGCTTTCTCTCTCTCTCTCTCTCTCTCAGAATAAATAAACAAACATTAAAAACAAAAGGAGTGCACTTGCAAATTTCTTTATAGTGGGAGTGATAAAGTCCAGAACTGTGATGTAGATGACATTTATCAACAGTTGCCCCCAAATTCTCAGCAGTGCTTGGTTTCCCCCAGAAGTGCTTTGTAGCAACATGATTTCCTTCCCTTACCAATCACATCTCCAAAGCAATTTATTGACACTAAGTGGCATGCAATCAAAGAGCGCAATATGTCACATCTCCCATGTGATCTGATATTTAGGAAAAGGGACTCAAGCACAGTCATCAACTTTATTCAGTTTTGCAATCTTAGTTTCAGAACTTACCAGCATCGAATAACTCCTAAATTTTATACTTGTTTCAACACTGGGCAAAGATTTCATTAATGGGCTACATGGTTAAGGCCAGTCACACAGTAGGTAATATTGCTTACCTCCATAAAAAGTATGAAAAATCTAATTAAAGTGTAGAAAGGTATTGAAATCATGCATAGAATTAAACTGGGGTCTTCAGGTTTGGCTGATGATTGGATGATGAGTAAAAATATTGAAATCTAGAAGAAAAATATCCATAGGTATTTTAATTTTCTCAGTCGTACATAATATTTTAAGCTTTTTAAATGAATAATCTGTTTTCCTAGGAGATATTCTCATTTTCACTTTATATATAGCAATATTGCTAGGTTTTCCTCTTTAGGAAGCAAGAAACTATCATTACAACTGAAACACAAGTTTATAATATCTAAAAGATAAATATCTTTTAAATATCTAGAAGATTTTGCACTATCTGATATGGATAGAGAGTAACAATAAAAGAAAGGGATATTACATTATTTACCCTGTTCATCACCAAAAATCCTCATATGCTTTTAGCACCAACGTATAATTTAGAATTAACTAATGATATGACTTGGAATCTTAAAAGAGAAAAGGACAAAATAAACGTTGAGGTATTTATTGCCATATGTAAGCAATAGGAAAGATATGAGAATTATCCATTTTGACACTAAGGTAGGAATAGTGAAAGGTTGAAAACATCCTGGGAGGAATGAATAAGTCAAGGGGATAAAAGGCACAGCAGAAGAAATATAGTCAATGGTAAGGTAATAGCGATGTATGGTGACAGAGGGTAGCTACCCTTGAGAGCATAGCATAACGCGTTAACTTGTGGACTCACTATGTTGTTCACCTGAAACCAATGTAACGTTTTGTGTCAAGTATACTCAAAACAAAATCCTCAGAGAAAAATAATATGGACAGCACCATACATGGCAGCCCATATTCCCAAGTCAGACTACTTTGGTGGTTTCCTAAGTGGACTACCTGGATCAAGTTCTCCTTTCGCCACAGATCCATGGGGCATTCTGAAGAAGGATTTGGTTTGGTTTGAATAAGAATCACTTTCTTTTACATATTCCTTATAAGTCCTCTGATTGCAAAGATTGTTTTGCTCGAGCAAAGTGTCTGGCACTTTGTAACAGAGAAATGCAATAAATATCAATGAATGAATGAATGAATGAATGAATATTGGAAAGGCAGGAGGATTTCTATCTTTATGTTTTTATTCATCAAATAATCAAAAAAGATACATATTAAAAAAATTTTTAAATGTTTATTTATTTTTGAGAGAGAGAGACGGAACCCAAGCAGGGGAAGGGCAGAGAGAGAGGGAGACACAGAATCCGAAACAGGTTCCAGGCTCCGAGCTGTCAGCACAAGATATGTGAGCAAGATGTGACCTGAGCCAAAGTCGGATGCTCAACCACCTGGGCCACCGAGGAGTCCCAAAAAAGATACACATTAAGGGTTCAATTTATGCAGATCACTTTGTGGAGTGGTATTGTAGTTACTACAGTTGTAGGAATAAAAGAGGGTGAAAGACAAGAAGAGGCTAGAAGCTGTTACTGAGCATTTACTGTTTACCAAGGACTTTGATGAGCAGTTGACTAGCACTGTGATGGTCAATGTGCTTTGAAACAGTCAGTCCTAACCCTTTAAAGTATTATGGTTATTATATATATTTTCCGAGGGTCAGATAAATGAATTGACTTGCCCAGCGTCTTACAGCTATTCAGTGCTAGGTCAAGGATTCAAACCGGGGGCTGTCTGGCTCTAGAGCCCAAACTCTTAACCGCTATACTTTTATAGGAAGATAACCGGCCTTACATCAAGTCAGTGGACATGACTTCGGCTGCCATGATACATATGAAACAGATGATAGAACAAAAACGCATATAAATAATGTTTCCTCCACAAGCACCAGAAACATTTTCTGGAGGAAAAAGCAATATCAACAGAAACAGGTTCACTAGTTTATTTTATAACCTTGTATCAGAATCTCCTTGAAGATTTACTGTTCATGCCATTTATAAGTAATAAAGGTTCTGCTGTAACAAAGTATGCAGCAATATATCTTCAGTTATAAAAAACTGAAGTTAAACCTTCTAATTCTAAAAATGCAATTAAATAACTTATCTTTGACAACCCTACCTCTCTTCTCTTATTCCCTTAATGCACTAATTACCTCATCTATCTTGTCCCAAACATCAGAAAAATAAAAAGAATCCTTTCATTGGATCTTTCCTCTGGCAAACAATACCAACAACATTACATTTAAAGGAGTTGTAAAACACTTCCTATTTCTACTTCCCCATTCTATATTTATTCTTCCATCTGCTATAAACTGGATTCTATATTCACTGCTGTAAAAAACTGAAGTTTTTTTTAAATTTTTTTTTAACGTTTTTATTTATTTTTGAGACAGAGAGAGACAGAGCATGAACAGGGGAGGGTCAGCGAGAGGGAGACACAGAATCGGAAACAGGCTCCAGGCTCTGAGCTGTCAGCACAGAGCCAGACGCGGGGCTTGAACTCACAGACCGCGAGATCATGACCTGAGCCGAAGTCGGCCACTTAACCGACTGAGCCACCCAGGCGCCCCAAAAACTGAAGTTTTAAAAGTTAGCTGTGGACTTCTACCTGTAGAAATATAGAAGAATAGATATCCTGAAAGACCTTACCCGTGCCATCTAAAACACATGTCCTTTAAATACACTGCTAGTCTCGGGGAAAAAAGCGAGAGAATTCTTTGACAGGAAACACAAAGTCTGCAACCTAACTTGGACTATTAAGTAAACACTACATCTGAGCGACCAGGGAACAAATGTGCATTCCAGTTCAGGGATTGAGAGGTCCTTCCCTCCAAATACCCTCGATAGAATAAGTATAGAATAAATAACCCTCTTTAGGGGTATTCCTTGCAACCCCCATATTAAGGCATGACGCTCTAAGATGGTGAATGCCCTACATGGGCTCTACACTGTACTTCTTGCAAAAGTAATTGAAAATTCTTCTAGGATGAAAATATCCCCAGTATAAGATCTTGAGAGTTCCATACTTAAAGGTCAACTAAATATGTGCACCCAGCTAAAATAAATAAATAAATAAATAAATAAATAAATAAATAAATAAATAAACATTCAAATATACAAAGCAGCCAGCCACAAGTGGCTGGGGGGGATGGAGTTTGGGGGGGGGACAACCAACAACAGATTATAACTATTTGAAGACTGTTATCATTGTCAAAGAACAAGTACAAATATTATTTTAATTAAATGTATAAGTAAATCAAGTGTGGAATAAAGAACACAAAAGCAAGTAACAAGAGATCATGAGAAACCGCTGGACATATCTGAAATAGAGCCAAATCGTTTTAGAAAACAAAGTTGAAATTTTAATAAGTTGATCAAAGATTAAGCGTAACTCAGAAATAGCTGAATCAAAAAATAAGTGAATTGGAAGGAGAGTCTGAAGCATTTCCCAGAATGCAGCAAGGACATGGACATAGAAAGTTTGAGCAAAATGCTAAGAGATGTGGAGAACAGACTGAGAATAACACTAATACTATCTCAGTAGAGTCCAGGGAGCAAAAAATAAATATTTTATTCGCACTTTCTTAAGAGAGGTAATATTTAAAGAGGTGCTGGCAGAGAAATTCCTGGAACTGACAAATGAATTCACAGATTCAGATGGCAAAATTCATTTGAAAAAAATGTTAAATACAAAGAAATCCACACCTAGAAACAATGTAATGAAATTAAAGGTGCGAAAGTCAAAGACCTTAAAAGTAGTCGAAGACGAATCCTCTACAAAGGAATGGCAGACAGCAATACATCTCAATAGCAAAAAGGTCAGCAAGAGGTTAGTGAATTTAGGTGATAAGAGAAAATAATTGTCAGCCAAGAAGTTTATATGCAGTAAAATTAACTTTTAAGAATGAGAGTGAAAAATGGCTCTAATGAGAATAAAAAGACAAAGTTACATGTGTGAATGGTGGACAAATGGTCAACAAAAAGTGTCTACAAATATTTTTTAACTTCTTAAAATAATGATGTTTATTTATGAGATTAAAAATGAGAGAACCAAACACTAGAGAATATCATGTAAGTAGGGTGAGCAATTATTGATCATAAAGTCTCCAAAATACAGTGTTGGAAGTAATTAGGATATTGATTAACTTTAGGCTCCATTAAGTTTGGCATGGGGAAAAGAAAATCAAGGATATTATGGGCTGAGTTTTGTCCCCTCAAATTCACATATTGAAGTTCTAAGCCCAGTAGAACATGATTGTATTTGGAGATGGGGTCCTTAAAGAGGTCATTAAGATTAAAGACGTCATGGAGGTGGGCCCTAATCCAATGTAACTATTGTCCTAATAAGAGGAAATTTAGACACACACACACACACACACACACACACAAGTATACATCTGGGGGGGAGTCAAAAGTTACTGTCAAAAGTTACACGCATAATCGCGACCATGCAGAGGGCTGGTTCCCCTAACTCCCATGTTGTTCAAGGGTCACCTGTAGTCTCAAAATATATAAAGCAAAAACTGATTAAATGAGAGGATGAAACAGACAACCCTACCTTTATATTGGGATGAATAAGGGGAGAAAAACCAAACAGATCAAGGACTAATTCCAATAGTTAAGGAGGCGTTACCTCGTTACGGCATTTGACTATTGTAGCACAAGCACTTATAAAATCGACCCAATGAATGATATGATTGGGTACTGCAAGGAGGATACTTAGAGACTAAGAAGCAATTCAATAGCCTTTACGATCTCTGCCGGCATACTGAATTCTCCAACTGGCTGTATTTGTGACATTCCCGTCCACACTAAATCCAAACCTTTGGATATTACCCACAAAGACCAGCCACTGTGACTGTACCAGCCCCAAAGAAGTAAGATGTTGGCTCTCTTTACCCTAAACCCTCTGCCCTGTCCCCACATACAGGAGAAGGGGAAACCCAGAAGCAAATAGAAAAATTAAAAGGGTAGACCCTGCTCCCTTTCTCACCACTGGTCCCCAAACTAAGGGCATGCCTGAAGTGGGGTTGGGGATGGAGCTTTTGAGATTAAAGCTATGATTTGGACTTGGCTGGCCTTTTAAGTGAATCTTAATGAGCTATTTTACTATCTGAAATGGTCAGAAAGCTATGATATCTGCTCAAGATGTCAACAAGGCATAGGGAAGGGAATACAGCAGAGTGCCTAATGTAATAAATGTTTTTATTTATTAATCAAACTTTTCCATGTTTATTTGTTTGATTACATTACTAGTCAATATGGTCACCTATCACACTTTTTTTTTTTTTTTTTTTTTTTTTTTTTTTTTTTTAGTAAGTAGAATTATTCAGGAGAAAAACTACACTGAGTTGAGAGGCTTGGGTTCAGGTGTGATTCTTTTAAGTTCTTCCCACTCAGTAAAATGAGGGGACTGTCCCAAGTGATCTAGTCTTTCAGGTGAGCCCTGCCAGGGTTTCTACAGATATTTTGGTTCTCTCCAAAGAAACAGAGATATAAAAGAGAAACCTCAAAGAACAGATGGAAATAGGAGAGAGAAAATGAACAAGAAATACTGAAACCATGAACACAGTCCAACAGTAATGGAGGTACAAAAGAAGTGATTCCATTCTCTTCTAAGTAATGTATTTAGGGGTGCCTGCATGGCTCAGTTGGTTGGGCACCTCACTTTGGCTCAGGTCATGATCTCATGGTTTGTGACTTCGAGCCCCACATTGGGCTCTGTGCTGACAGCTTAGAGCCTGGAGCCTGCTTCACATTCTGTGTCTCCCTCTCTGTCTGCCCCTCCCCCAGTCATTCTCTCTCTCTCTCTCTCAGTCAAAAGTAAATAAACATTTAAAAATTTTTAAGTATTTATACTTAACTTTGAATTCTTAAAAATAAGCTTTAAAAAAATTTAATATAAATGTGCATATGTATGCATAGATACTTACAATAAGAAACCCGAGACACCAAAGGCCATTATTTTTTCTTCTCTTGAGAAAGATGAATGAAATCACATACGTGAAGAATATAAGAGAAGCTGCACAACCAACTATGCAAACCACCTACAAACAATATATTTAGTGGCAAGATTAGAGATGGCAGGTCACGTATGGGACGGGGAACAGGGAGATAATGAGATCATAAGGCTGTGTAAGGCCATTTTCTCACACACGCCTTTCGTTAACGATACAACGCTAATGGAAGTGAATGTTTGTTTCTATTATATTTTGGCCTGGTGAAAAAAATGATCACTTACAAGAGCAAACATGAGCACCAGTGGGAATCTGACTTCCAAAACCATGAGGCAGTTAATTAAATACACCGAAAGAAGAATTGAGCAGTATAATGGAATGTCCACAAGAGCCTGTCCAATCCAGTATGCCGAAGGACACAGGCCTGAAATCCATAACTGAGACTGAGTTTTTTGCTGATAAAGAAACAGAAGGGATACAGAAGGGTTTGAAATGTTGGGTCGAAAAGGTATTTTGTTTATGCGAAAATACAAACTTTTAATACATTTTAGAAATAGCATGTTGTAATTTTTTTTGTCTGTATTATTTTATATAGTGAATCTGAGCTTCAGTAACTTTCTAACCCAGGTCTAGGTAATCAGGCCTCAGGCAACTAATACCGTCCCAGAGAAACACCGTGTCACTGTGACTGCAGAAGGGCATGTCTCTAAGTATCTGATGTCCAATATGGGAATATACAGCCATTGGCTCAACAGGAAAAGTCTGGATTATTTGTAGAATTGATTTACTCTTTGATAAATTTACTCTTAGATAAATGAAAATGATGATAACATAAAATTTTAAAGCTTGATTTACAAAAGTGTTGTTAAAAGTTCAGAAACATGGTGTATCTTACATTGGACGCTCTATTTAAAAAAAACACACACATTCCTTTTGGAACTGTGAAATAACAACACACAGTCAAGAAGCACCACACTTTCACCTCTAGAGTTGATTCAGTAGGGTTCCCTTAAAGGTGAGGCAATTTCATGGTGTTGAATAGTGAATTTTCTGACTCCTTTGACATTGTGATTAACCATTTGACAGAATCTATAATGAGACTAGAACAACGACATAATTTATGTGTAGACACATTTTTCTTGAAGAACTATCCTGTGTGTATACAGCAGTGAAATTCTGATTTTTGAAGTCAGAGAAAATCATCTTTGTCCTCCTCCCCTCCCACACCCCCTCTTACTTTGCGATCGCTGAGGCTGCTCATGCCAATGTAAGGAGAAAGGCAGTTTGCAAGGACCAGCAAAAATAAAGGCCCATTCACAAAACCAAATTCCACTAAGACGCCATTCTGGAAGTTCAAAACACACCTGTAAGCTATTGAAATTGTTACATATCATGCAATCAAACATAGTCGTAAGATATGACATAGTGAGAACTTCAGAATGGAAGCATATACCTAATTTAAGAAGCAAACACAGACAGGGGTACCTGGGTGGCTCAGTCAGTTAAGTGTCTGACTTTGGCTCGGGTCGTGATCTCACAGTTTATGACTGCTGGGCTGTCTGCTGTCAGCGCAGAGCCCGCTTCTTCCGATCCTCTGTCCTCCTCTCTCTCTGCCTCTCCCTCATTCGTGCTCTCTCTCAAAACTAAA